GACTTTGTATTTGGACATCGCAAACATCTAATTTGAACCAATGCTGCATTCAACATTCCATGCGACACACAAAAATCGATATTTAGGTGTGTTTTTTTAATACTTACTTTTAAATTAAGGAGTTATGTATAATACTAAAATTTGAATTATAATCTACAATTTGATATCAAACTTATTGGCATAAATTCATAAAATAGTAGTTCAATAAAATTTTGAATGCAAGTGAATAAATACAGTGACATGGCCTTTGACCTGTGTGGAGAGGGTTAACAAGCTCAGAATTAATGTGATAATTTTGTTGTATCTTACGTGTATCTGGCAACTTTTTAGGATGAGAAATATTGTTTTAATACATATTAGTAAAAATTGAAGAAACAAAAGTAAATTTAATAACCCAGCCATTTCATAATCATCAGATATAATTATAAGCCATCCTGTATCATCACTCAAAAGGCCCCACTCCCATCCTAGCATTTTGCTTACCTTAATCATTAAGTTCATGTATTTAAAGAAATTTTTACTATTAATTTTTACATTTTTAGCCAATCTCTTTTCATATTACATTTTTGATTTCCTAATTTCCTATCTGTCTAACCCTCTTGATCTTCTATAATCCTCTAAATCACCTATCAATTTAAACTTCTCATGTTTATAATGTTTTCTTTAATGTTATCCTTTGTGATCCAATCTTGTTTTTCACTTGCAGCCATCCTTTAAATATTTGAAAAATTTATTTCTAAACTTCTTCCACATTTGAACAGTGATTCCAATCAATTCAATTGCCCAATTCACAACAGATAATTTTGTTGCATACCTGCCAATTAATCAGCATATCCTAATATCTGTATCTTGTAGTCTAACAAGTTAAAAAAATCTTATTAATTTTCCTTACTATATCAATATATCACACTAATTTATAAAGCCTTAAAGGGCTGACACATATTTTTGTGCTGTAAAGTAGTTTTGAAATAATTATGATTTCAAGCAAATATTCAGTTTTGATGTTTTAATTGGTTCTTCAAAAAATTTGTTTAATATTTTTAAAATATTTTAAATAGTTAAGTACAATAATCTACAACAAAAGTGAAAAACTAAATAACCCATGTGTTATTGTTAATGTGATGATACTTGTTCAGTTGTTGGATGTTCCAAAGAAAATGGTTACCTTACTTTTTAGCTATATCTACAAATACGTCTTACAAGTTCGCTTAACATTTAAAATGTGTCTTTCAACTTATTGAAAGAGTCTGGGTTAAAATAAAAGGGTTCTTCAACTTTAGTTTAACGACAAACAACGGCCGTTGAAATATCACTACTCAGCTGCGGTGACAACATAGAAAATATTAACCTGGAGACGAAAGACTTCGGAACGTCGTCCCCTACACTTATGTTTTTACAACAGGCAGTTGCCGTCCTTTCCAATTTACTCATCATAAACTTAAGTTAACGTTAAGCCTACCGTACAAGGGTACACTTCATTAACCAAATGATGGTAATAGCCTAAGTTTAATATACCATATGTTAGTAATGTTAATAAACATAACTGTTAAAAAATTATCAAGTAAACTTTGTTTCTTAGACTTTTTTACACATACATAAATTTTTCAAGGTAAAAATCTTACGTGACAGAAACTCTATTTCTTGTTCCAAAGTTCTTTGCTCGTCATCCGCCATTTTCTACCTATTTTCCTAAAATAAAATTATAAAATGCATGATGCAACTACAACGTATACTTAAGACACACTTGCGATTGAGCTATCATCTATAAGTACTTATTACGAGAATTTTTTTAAATATAAAATACCACTTCTGTTGCTTTATACGAGCTGCGATCAAAAACTTCATCACTTCTTTATCTAAGAGAAAAAATATTTGTTTCAATTCAAAAACGTAAAATGAAATGACTTATGATCTGATTCAATAAAAAAAATAAATTCGCAATCTAAAACACTATTGTTCTACAACGTAGTATATTCAGGTGAAATGAATCTAATCAAAAACACCTTAGGTTGAAAAAAAGGTGCGGCCAAAAAAGGATTGAGCTTGCAACTTAGAGGAATGAAATCAAAATTGGCGGCCAAACTGATTGCTACTACTCACAGCATTGATGAGAATTGTACATCTAATATTTATTCGTTAGTTAACTAGGCAGCGTTTTTTGTTCCATTTGGTGCATGATTGGGAGTGAAACAAAGTAAGTGGCCTACCTAAATAAAAAAAAAATGAATATTTGCTGTAAAATTCTTTTCAATACTGTAAGTGTAGCTACCAGTTTGGCGCCCCCTAGTGGCAAAGCAGTATGTCTGCGGACTTACAACGCTAGAAACCGGGTTTCGATACACGTGGCTGGCAGAGCACAGATAGCCCTTGTGTAGCTGTGTGCATAATTAAAAACAAACAAACCAGTTTGGCCGCACGCTGAATCCCTTTTTGCCCGCACCTTTTTTCCACAGTGTTTTGATTAGATATTGTTACGTATCTGGTCGTTTGTTAATTTCCGGTATAAATTCTTTCCCAGGAACTTCAGCGATACAAATTATTTCTTAATTAAAACTAGTTTATTCTTTCTCGATACAACTTTTAGTAATACACAGAATTTCCACAATAACTTTAAACTTAACAATCTTATAACACACGTTATAAATAACAGCGATTCACACACTTTACTTACGGTGCCTACTGCTCGCTTGACTCAATTATTTATCTCTTCAATTATATGTCTTTCACTGGCCTTATTTACCGGACTTATATACTAAAAAAGAGAGGGCCCCTGGAACAAACTAGAGTT